TACGGAGAAGTGCAACGTAAGTGTACGAAGTACGCACAAGAAGGGTAGGTCGGTGTGAAAGTCGGAGAGGTACGGATAGTACCAAGTAGAGGAGGGTGAGGGTGAGGAGTAGTGTGGTCAGGTAGGAGGAGGAAGAGGTACTTGGCAACCCAATGTCGGGATCTAAGTCGTTGGGAGTCGAGGTGTTCGTATCCGTAGACCTGGGGATGTATCTGTAGAACCTATCTTGGGTGTCAAGGACCAAGGACCAAGGAAGGTATCCGTAGTAGTAGGGTAGGGACTAGGAGTCTGCTGGGAGTGGAAGGGCGGAAGAGGAGGCGCGGCGGCGGCGGCGCGCGGCGAGGGACGGGAAGCTCGATTCGAGTCGGCTCGAGAAGTCTTCCTACTCGCCTTTGGGAACCCGATGTGGTGAGCGGTTTGAAGTGTTCCCGGCTGTGTGGTTCTTGAAACTTGGGAAATGGGATTTTCCCACTCTGCGAATGCGCCCGGATGCCCAAAGGGTCGGCTTGGAACTTGAAGGGGGCGGGGATCAGCGCGTTGGGCAGAGATGGAGCTTCCGCTATTTTTGCTCTCTCTCCTCTTTCTTCGGGTTGCGCTGCCTTGGAGGTTCGACGGGGGTGACGGTGTGAGCGAGGTGGGGAGGGGGATCTCTCTCTCTTTCTCTCCGACTGTTGACTTGCGCGTAGAGGAGGGAAGAAAAAGAAGGTCGAGAAAAACGTCAAATTCTCAAGCGGCGGCGAGACGGATGGATGATGATGTCCCGGTCGCCATATACCTTGCTCCCGCGCAGAGAGTAGACGAGCGCCACGGCTACAAGGTACACGCACGAAGTGGAGGTGTCGGCACGAGGTACTCGGTACGCTTGCTCGACGGAGTAGGTATCCTTTACTCTAATGTACGATGGCGGGTTGGGTGTGTAGACTCGGATGTAGGGTGCGAGAGGAAAAGCTGGAGGCAAAGGCAGAAAACGGGCACCACCCGTCCCAAGGCGGTCTGCTTTTGGTGGCCTGGTCTGACTCTTGTTGACTACCCGTATGCAAGTACCTATCCTTCTCTTCGGTCCTCTATGCTTCTTGGAGCTCTGGAGCTTGGCCGAGGGGTACGCGATGTGGTATCTGAAAGTATCTCAAGCTCCTGGATGTGTGTGGGATGCGGTGGCGACAGGGGTGAGAGTGACTGAGGGAGACAAGGCAGGGAGTTACTTTCGCGACAAGTCCATCAGTCTTGGACTCTTCCGCCGGAGAAAAGAGAGTAGGAGAGAGAGAGAGACAGAGAGGACCACCTGGGAAATCCAATCGACCCTGCCAAGTCGAAAAGTCTCAGAAAGCTAGCAGGGCCAAGGGGGGGTCTATGAAAAATAGCAAGGGTGGGTTAGGAGGGACGAGAAGGGGGGATAAAAGGGGAAAAAAAAAAAAAAAAAAAAAAACCGCAGCAGCAGCGCGGCGACTTTACACTATCTGGATAAGTCTAGGATTGGGGGAGTCGAGCTAGGACGAGGGATCTTCGTGAGCGAACGAGGGGGGGTGTGGGTGTGTGTGTCTCCAGTACTGTTCCCTCTACCGTCTACAAGTAGGTACCGATTACTCCGCAGCACGTCGTGGTCCTCATCGTAGTCGTTCTTGGAGTTTGCTTTGCGCGGTGTGGGAAAAATGAAGACGAAAGGAGGGGCGTGTCCTTAACATCCCCCCATTTACAGCCTCCGCCGTTTCTCCCACGCGCGCCGCCCTGGAAATGGACGTGAAAGAGGGTGGAAGTGCGTGCGTGCGTGCGTTCCTAGTGACATGGGGGGTTGGAGCAAGCGCGTGTCTTGCGTGTGAAGCTGCTGCTGGCCCGACTTGATCTGCTTCCTCCCACAGCCTACGTACAGGTAAATCCTCATATACACGCGCATGTACAGACAGAGGTATGGTACTCCTCGTGTACTGTGCCGCGAAGAGTACCGTTTGGGTTGAAGCACGTATGCCCCAGTCGGTATGCTTGTCTTAGGAAGTCTTCCAACAGCCTGGGAATCTGTTCTTGTGTTGCCGATGGCTTGCTCGGTCGTTTGGTCGCTTGCTGAGAAACTGCACTGCGTACCTGGGCGGCGGATATGCGGTGCTAAGCATAGTAGCTAGAAACTCTCTTCTCCCACATCAACCACGCGCACACAAACAGAATGCCTACACTTGCGCAGCAGTCAGGGCTAGTCGTACGGATACTGCGGTAGCGACAAGTTGGCGACTGTCAGGGATGGGTAGTGCCCGGCTAGCAGACCGACTCAAGGCATTCCCCAATGCCATTCCTATTCCCATTCCCGACACCACTTCCCAAGCTTGTTTGGATCCGATGCAGCACCAGTTCTCGTCGGCTTTCCAAGGCACACTGCCAGTTCCGGACGGGACGCGCCGCACGGAGATGCTGTCGGGAGCAAAGGGGGGGGGAGGGGGCCCGGCGCGCGAAAGACTCATGGATAACCGAACCTCAGAGACGAGACCATTTTCATGCTCTCTGTTTCTCTCTCCTGGTTTTTTGCCATTCTCTCCGAATCTCTCGGTGTGTTCCGTCCGATACTTGCTCATGGAGTCATGGACCGGCGCATTCTGGATCATACTCCATGCCAGAGTGCCAGACAACTGGGGAAAAGTGGTCACGGGATTCGAGAAGGAAATTTGCTTTTCAGCAACGGCCGTGCAAAGGAATGTCCAAGTTCCGCTTTTTCTGGGGCTCTGGTCCCCCTCTTGTCTTGTCTTGATCATTACGTCGCTGGTGGTCCACGAGGGGCCAGCTGGCCGGTGTAATGTACGGTGAGCTGACGTATGGTTGCGGTGTGATAGCAAGATGGCAGGTCCTTGCAAAAGAAGGGTCTGCTGTATTATTAGGTTTTCTTTCGGTTTGGAAACCCGCGGGCGTGCGATGCGATGCTATGCGAAGGAACGGGATGGGCAGGCAAACAAAACGAGTGCGGAGCAGCGACATGCAATCCATGCTCCAACTCGCCCAAGCAGTCAAGTAGTATCCGTTCGCAGTGCGCCGCCTCGACTCGTCACTTGACCGCTGCGCTGTGCTGTACTTTGCTTTGCTGTGCTGCTTGCTGCCATGCCGGTGCTGCTGCTGCGCGCAAGATACTATCTTTGGTGCTTCGCGGGTGCCGACCGCTAGACTGGGCCACGGTTGGATAGGACGAGGCCGTTCGTGGCGGGCGTGGCAGGCGTGGCGGACGTGGCGGGCAATTCTTCCCAACACTTTGCCATCCTCAAGCGATTCGACGTGAGTCGTGAAGAGAAACAAGCGTCGACGTTATTTTAGCGGCTTGAATGTCGTACACAGGGCCCTTCCTTGGTGGCGGGCGCGAGGCGAAGAGTACCAGGGGGAGTGCAAAAAGCCTCTTTTTTTTTTTTACTCTCCCTTTCTTCGTCGCTCTCTCTCAACCTCTCTCATTATCTCTCTTCATTTCTCGCTCGCTCGCTCGCCCGTCCCCCCAGGTCTGGGGTTGACCCTAAATCTGACGAATAACGTTCCCCATCGGCGATATAAAACCCAAATGCATGGACGAAAAGGCCCGTTCGTTTGCTGACTACGTCAAAGTCAAGGCGGAAAAGGCCGGAACAGAAGGGCTGAAGATCGGAGCTGGCCTCCGTCACTGTGACTGACGAATGTCAAGAGAGAGAAACATGGTGTGGTGGGCGCGATGTTGTCGCAGGACGGACGAAAGTATGCGACTCGCCAAAGTCAAACCAGAGCCAAGCCGGCTAGTTGTTGGCAAGCATCTTTTGATAGTGTGGGATACGGATACTGTATGTCGAACTGCTGCCCAGTAGTAACGATTCATTCGCAGAGACGGTGAACCGTCTTAGAGCAGAAAACTCGCTCCGACGCCATGGTCCAAGGGACCGGTACCTGGGAAGCACGGAGGGTGCCTGGAAAGACTCGGAGCGCCGAGGGACCTGCCTTGCTCGCGCTCGACTGGGGTGACTGAGCCTTGATGTCGGTCTGAGCAGCTTTTTGGAGATGTGGGATGAGATGGGATGGGAGGGGTCCTCGGCAGGCGGGCGAGGGACAGGGGGTGTGTGGAAAGCAAAAGATGACACCAGCTTGTCCAGATTTGCTTGTTGTTTGTTGGTGCGAGTGGTGGTCTGTGATGCCTTTTTTTTTTCCTTGCTCGAGGATGGAGGGATGGAGGGGGAGAGGTTAGGTTAACCACTACCGAAGTCACTCACGAGCGGAAGAGCCAGTAGAGCTGAGGGTGGTGGGCAAAGTCCATTTGCTCGCTGATGCCCGCTTGAGAGGAAGTAAGGGAGCAAGGATGAATGCTGCCCGTCAGTCGTGGTTAGCTGCCGAAATGGAGGTGAGGGGCCCGAGACAGACTGACAGAAGCAGTCTTGCCTGCGGATTGCCCGCCCTATCCTGATGTCGGCGGTGACGGAGAGGCCAAACTTTGAGGAAAGTGTGTGTACGGTATGTGTGTGATGAGTGCCAGCCGAAGGTTGGCGAGAGTACGGTAGAGTTGGCCAACAGAGTTGAAGTCCAAAAGCGTGCTGTACGGATACGGGTATCGCCGCCTATCATCGTCGACATGCTCGTGTATCCGTACGTGATTCCGTCCGTTGATATGTACCAAGAATGTCTTCCATCACGCTCATGGGTGCTCTTGTTCTGCTACCCACTAGGGGCGCGATGTTTGCTCTTGGTCTGCTGACCAGCTGGCTGTTTGAGTCTGATTCTGATTCTTGGTCCTAGTCTTGCACGTCTTAGGTCTCGTCGCAACACTTCAAGCCTCTTCTGGACAATGGCGGCCTTCGCAACGGGGTCGATGGAGCTGTTGGAGCTCTTCCCTTGCGGGGCGCAGTAGAAAGGCCGCTCCTGTCGGCCGGGACGGTCAAGACTTCAAGTCACCTGGGCGGCAGCGGTGGCCTCGACAAGCGACACACAAGTGTACTCGTGGTGCGGTGACGTCGCAGTGAGAGAACCAGGTAGCTTTCAAGTACTGTCAGCCCCTCACTTTCTTTTGGAGGGGTGGATCGCTAGCCGACAGTCCGCGCCGAAGGTCCGCGTACTCGATACCGCTTTGCCTGGCGGTTGAGGCGCAACATGCGGCACACCTTGAATGCGCCGGCTCGTACTCGATACATCAGTCTGCGATTCATGGCTGACCTCTGGTATACACAGTACACGGAAGAGCAGACCATTGTCGGGCAGCTCATGTTCCACATCAATGCTCATCGGTTCTGCAATATGATCTTGGTCTCTCCGAACCATTCGACTCCTGAGGAACCACTCGAGCGCACCGACTTTCAACTTGAGCAGATCGTGGGGCCTCAAGTCTTCAATACGCGCCGTGAGTCGTCTGCAATTCGGCAAAGAGGAACCCATCGCTGTGGAGCTGGTTAGTGGGTTTTGACCCCAGAACGGTTTGAAATTTTCTTTCTTCTCCCCCACCCTCAAGTCGCGGTGGTCCCCCCTCTTCCCACCTCTACGGTTTTGTAGTTTGTGAGGACTTCCAATGAGCATCGAATGCTGCCCTGTAAGACCCTACCCCACACGACGGATTACCCCCTACGACGGATCACCTAATTTAGACGATTTTTTCCCTCCTTTAATACTACTACTACCATAATATATAAGTAATAAATAATTAAAAAAAATTATAAAAATTATATTAAAATTACTAATAAATTTACTATACCTAAATATATAGAAGAATATATTAAAAATACGCAATATAACGTCGGCTTTAGTAAGTTAATTTAAAAGGCTATTATAAACTAAGGAATTTTTTATATTACCCTCTCGAACTAGTTATGAGGTATTACAATAGTTAAGAAGTTAAAGGAGGATTATTAAAGGCTTAGTAAATACTAAGAGTAATCCCTTATTTATTAAGTAATTTTATAGGGCTAGTTAGGGTTTATTTTAACTTATATTTAAGTTAAAGAGTTTATAATACGTATTTTTTTAATAAAGCGGTAACTAACGCTTATTTAGAAAGAAGTAACTAGAGGGGTTCTTATATAAGAATTTTACGCTCTTAATACTATAAGCCTATTATATAAATTCTAAATATATTAAGTTTATTATTATTAACGTTATATAAGCTTTTTAAAAAATCTTAATATTCTTAAATATTTATAAGATCTTAATATCCCTCTATTAAAATATAAATAAAATAGGATTAATAAAAAAGAGTAATAAAGACTATTTAGTACTAAGTAAGTTTAAGAAGAGATTTATTTATATTTAAATATTAAGAGACCGTACTTAGACTTTTATATTTAAATATATTTTTATAAGTAACTAGTACCTCTTACTATTAGTAATTTTTAAAAAGTAAACCGTATAATAATAGTAGTTTTTTATAAAAATATTAAATTATACCTCGTAAAGCTTTATATTTTTTATAAATAAGTAGATTTTAAATATAATTAAGTTAGAATAGCTAATTAAAATATTTATCTTATAAATAGAAATAGAAACTAAAAAACTCTTATCTAAGCGTTTATTTATTATTAATAGGTATAATAGTTACGTTTTTAACGATTTTATATAGTAATATTACTTTAAGGATATTTACTTATATTATTTATTACTATATTCTAATTATATTACGTAGCCCTTAAATATCTTAGTATTTTTATTACTTAAAATATATTACTATAATAGGCTTATAAATTGCGGCCTCTAGCTTAATTTAGTACTAATTAAGAAGTAGAACTTCTTCTACTATTATTTCTAGGCCTAAGTATAAGCGTTTATAAAGTAAAATATATATACTAGTTAAAAAGTAATAGGGCTATACTTTATTAATATATAATAGCCCCTATTTAGTAAATTTATTATTATAGCGTAGTTTATAAACGTTTTATAAGTATTACTATGAGAGCCCTTATTTTTAAAAGTATTTAAAATATTTTAAGATTATAGTATTATTATTTTTAAAAAATTAGGAAACCTTAGGAGGTATTAAAAGCTCTAAGTACGAGGTAAGGGTGAGGATAATTTCGATTTTATTATTTATAAGTTAATATTTAATAAGGTAAGTAAGTAATTAAACGCCTAGAACGTAGCCCTAGCTAATACTTAATTAGTTATTAAGTTACTAGAGGTTTAAGTATAATTATATAAGCTAATTATAAAGGTAAAAGTACGTTAAGATTTAAATAAGTAATTTATACGAATTAAGGCTATTATAAAAGTAAAGAGGGAAGCTAAGGCTTACTTATAGCGCCTAATTATAGTCCTAATACTTATAAACAGTATAAAAGAAGCTTAATTTATTAATATATATTTAGAATTTTAAATTTAGTAACGTTATATTATTAATAATCGAATTCGTAATTATAAGGTCGAAAAGTCGAAGTCTGGAAAATTATCTAAATTAGGTAATCCGTCGTAGGGGGTGATCCGTCGTGTGGGGTGGGGTCTTAACTTCCAGAAAACAGAGGAAAGTGTCTCAGAGTTTGTTGGCTGTCACTTGTGGGTGGTGTAACTCCTTGCAGCAGGATCCGTTGCTTGTCTGGCTGAGAGCTTGTCAAGACTTGTGAAGATGGCAATTGCTCCATCTCGAGTTGACTCGTTCTCTTGAAAGACCCCTTCAACCTCGACCTAATTCAAACGGGAGGGCAACAGCGCCAAGGGACCATTTTGCGTGCTCGGCAAGTGATAATCGCCTCAAGTCCGTCCCGGATTCGGATTCGGCAGCACCGGCGAGCTTCAAAGGCACGTGGAATCATCGGCCGTGTGTCGAAAGTCTGTCCATATCGACAGAACCAAACATTGGTTATTTGTCGTGTCGTCTGTAACAAGGTTTCGTGAGGCAACGTGGGCCAGGCACGCTACCATGTTGCCCTCTTGTCCAGGTACTGTGCATTGTCTCGCTTACTACTCTGAACGGAGGTCCTTTGCGCATCATTACACAGCGCGAATCCGTCACTGTACGACATCGACATTTCTGTCATTGTCGGTGCGCAAGTGCGTCATGTCCAACACTTCAGGCTCGAGCTTGGACATGCAGTTGCAGGTACAGCCACCTTGTCTCTGGATGCTTGTCCCAAGAACATGTCGGAGGCCGAAAACCCCATCGACGAGCCTCGGATTATCGATAATTGACAGCTCATCGGGGGCTTTTTGGGGCTGCGGCGGCCAACGCGAGATAGCTGCGTGCGACAGATGCGAGTGCTGATATAAGATGCGGCGGATATGGTCCGCAAGTACATGGCTTAGTACCCTCCAGCCTCGAGCGAAAGAGCGGCCCCCTCCGACTAACTCCAAGTTCATTGCCGCATCTTGCTTGTTAGTGAGAGGCTCGTCATCCAGCAGGGGGGATGAGAGGAGAGAGAAAAGAGTCACGCCTCCAAATCTCCTTAGCTTCGAAAACGGGTCAAAGGCTACCGAGCCCAGCCCGAGCGCAAGGTACCGAGGAAAATCCTGTGGAAGATCCCTACCTCGTCCAGCGACTGGCATTTGGGGCATGGTCAACGTGACCAGCGCAAAGCAGCCGACTCTAGTACAAGCGCGCTTTTAGTCGTGACAACTCTGCGTGCGAGGCTGGACAAGTGAGGCGTGCGGTCGTCAGTGGTATCACGGGACGTGGTGGCATGCAAGCGGTGTGCCGCTCTGGCAAAAAAATATTGCTGAGGTCGTCGTCATAGCCATAGCAATTGTTGCCAGTCCCGATCACAAAGTTATCACATCCATAAATCTCCACCAATGCCTAGCCACTCGTCGTACGGATAGTGTAAAGCAATTTACAACGCCGTTACGCCAATGAACTGTATTCAAGCTTGTTCCCTGGGCGGGCTGTCGGCATCTCCATTTCGTTGTCGGGAGTCATGGAAGCACCCGTCGCACTCGAACCGTCTCAATAAATGCCCGACTGTGGTCTCTGAGAGATAAATGCGACCCCATGGCCTGGGGCTACGTCCGAAAGGGGCACAACCGAGTAGCCAGTGAAGTGTGCCCTCGAGATATTCATGGCAAACAGCTGTAACAGGAGGTACTCGTTCTCTGCCAGCTGTGTTGCAGGGTCCTCACAAGGCTTTCCCTGGAAGTCTTCAGCAACACCCAAAAATAAGTAGCACATATCTTTTTCTCCTCTGCCGCTGCCGATATCAGATATAATAGAACGTACCCCATGCCTTGGTTAATGTGCGTTCGCAGCGGTTGCGGCCTCTCATCGAGGACAATAAGATTGAAAGTGCCGAGCGTCTCTCTTGCGAACAAGGGCAAAGGCGGTTGAGCTGGTAAAATGATGTCGGAGTTCGCTCCGTTGGCAGTGCCTGGTCACTTGTCCTCTCCAAAGTCCCCGGGCTCAACGCTGGGCAGAATACCTCACGGCCGGGCCCTTCGAGATGAGATCACTTCGCCAATGATTTAGGTTTCCGGCACCCAGGCTTCTCACATAAAGTCCAATAAACACCGTTTGCTGCCATGAATGACTGGACGGTTTTGATATGTCAATCGACCGTGCAAGTGACACAAGATATGAGCCGATACGACCCACCCAACAAGGCGCCAGCGTTGTTTGATGACATCCAGCTTCGTCTCGTATCTGAGAGACTCCATCAAAAGGACAAAGTCGCCTGCCAATATTGCTTTCAAATCAGTCACCGCCTTTTGTAGCCTGCGGTCGTGAGTAGAGTTCTTGATCTGCAGACGCTGACGACCATCAGTGGGCCGGTGTGGTTGACGACGATGGCTATACGTCCAAATTGGCTGGTTCCTATTAGGTTCCAAGTCTAATCAGCAGAACGTTGTTAGTCCACAAACCCCCGCCATGTCAGTAAGCTTGAGGTCATAAATCCTCATTTCGTCAGAGGATTACGCACAATTCCGCGCTGGCTGCAACTGCCGCAGCATAGGCGGCTGCTCGCCCCTGGGGTTTCGTTCGGGAAACGGTGAGTAAACTGTCGCGTCGCGAGATGTGCTGGCTAGATCTGTAACCGTATCACAACTTTCCTCTTGGGCTGCCATGATCGCCAAGTAAGGTTCTGGGGCGCAGATGTTATCCTGTGAAATCCTTACCCTCGATGAGAATATCACTTGCTTTGTATGTATGGCTTCAGCTCCTCTATCCCAAAGTGACTGAATGATCTTCGGGCTCAACCTGTTGCCTACCCAGAAGCCGCTATAGGCAGACGCTGCACAATGACAGCCATCGAAGCAGCTATTCCGTTCTGCACCAAGTAGCGGACAGGGCAGTATCGGGGATGGGGTGACTTTGACTCGAAGGTTGCATTGCTAGGCTGTTCCCTGTAGCATAAGCCTGCCGACTTGCTCTCAACGTCCGTGGGCTTAGCTGCAGGAAGCCGTGCAGAAGGGCGGCGCGGCGGCATTATGAGCTGCGTATCAAGCACGCCGGACAGGTAGGGTCCTGGGCAAAGCGTCCGAGCACAAGCCCACCATGAGGTTTCGAGACAGGAAGTCGATGTCTCCCCCATCCATTATTGTGCAAGAAAGGATACAGTGTCGTCAGAGACAGCATGACGGGCGCACACAACCACCAGAAGTCTGTGGCAGACTTATCCGCGAAGGTGCCCTTGTAGGGATAGCAGGTCGGCGAGTTGCGCCGGGGAAGACGGAAGCTAGACTTCTGTTCGTCTCGTCTCAAAACTGCCCGTAGTGTAGTGTAGAGCGGCTCGACCAAATGCGAGGCAGCCGTTGGGCGGTTAAGGAACTCAAAGGCGTGTCCACGAAGGAAGTGGCTGTCTTCCATGGAACGCGGGATGCGGGGAACAAATCTAGTTGGAGGATCGACAGGGTTCGCCTTCAATAGTCGCATTGACGACCGAAGTTTGTCCTCCACGACGCCTGCCGCTGTTCCTGACTGACCCGAAACTAGCCTGCCGTGACTGCTTCGAAGTCCGCACAGCCATTGTTCTTCATCTCCATGGGGGGGGGGGGGGGATTTGATATTCGTAATGGCTGATGACTTGGGCGGGAGCCGCCACACATAGGCGACGTGCATGCCCGGCTGGCATCGCCTTCGGCAGCAAGCCTTGCAGCTTGGATCAGTATCGGTGATTGCGAGTGAGCTCCTTCTCCGATTCTGGCTGGTGCGGTCGCTTTCCCAAAGGGCCCAAAAGAGCAACCCGAGGAGATGTTGGAGGTTCGGAGATTGGTGCACCGCCGACTGGAGACGAAGGTTTACCAGGGTTTGCTAGGGTATCTGAGAGAACCAGGCGGCCATGTCGCAAAATTCAACGCATTGTAGATAAGACGCAGGCGGCAAGCCTCTTGAGTCCTTGACTCCTCATTCTCTTGATGCTCCGGGCGGCGGCAGGCGTCGGCTTGGTGCGTTAGAACGAACCTGTTCCACTGTTCCACAGAATACTACCGTTGTGCTGACGGTCGGTCTATCGAAAATGACATCTGAACATTGGCGATGAGAAGAACAGCCGTGCCGATTACGGCTTAGGTCGCAACGGGCGGGGTGGGATGGCCGTCGGAGGTACAAAGTACACCTGGCCTAGATATGTTGCACTGTTATCATAGGAGCGCCAGTCATATGGACTGTTTGGTTTCTGGCAATCCTGTTTTGAGGCCAGCATGTGTTGCCGCAGAAGGTTTTCTTTCAGCCCAAAAACTACCCGAGAGATTGCCTGAGCCGTAGGGCGCTCGCTGGTAAGGGAAATAATCGACCTTGTTCCCTGCAATATCCGATAGCTTATTCGTAGTTACTCTGAAGCGACGGTATGCGTATACACAGCTGCGGCTGAAAAGCGAGGATTTACTTCCATTAGACGGATAGGTGAGGGTTGAAAGCCAATCCGTAGGATTAGAGTAACAGCGCAGACCCGCTGGGTGCCCCTCGCTTTTGTCATTTCTCAGGATCTTTCGGTCTGCAGCGCACAGGACCTGTTCTCCGAACCTTGTATCAAGATGCCTTCGGATTTCAACAGCAACCCCTCAGGTTTTGGGCCGTTGTGTTCTCACGAGCTGACACACCAGGCTGCCCACAAGCAATGACACCTTCAAATCTGATAATCAAAACGCGCTTTCCTGTCTCTTGAAGAATTCGGAACCTCGGTTGGCGGTGTAAGATATTCGACAGTGGTCCGAGCTTGGTTCATTTTCCGATCACGCACTTTAATCAGGCCATTATTCGTACTGTCACACCGAGACCAAGGATCAACATTGTTCGTCTTGACCGGTCAAACTAGCAGGCGTCTCCGGTAGTTTCCTTACGAGTTCCGTGTGTGCGAGTTGGCCAGTCAAGAGACTCGAGACGTGGTCGTTAGAAAAGGCTTCGTGACTTGAGCTGTGGCAATGCTTTTCGGCCGGCATTGCGTCGATCATCCCGAGCTGCGTTGGGGGCCCTCGCATATCATTCGAAATTTCAGAGGCAGCGCCACAGGCGGGAAGGCAAGCACCGCAACGGGAACGGAGCGTGTTGTGTCTTGGAATAGCAGCCGCATTGCTTGCTGAACCAGTCTTCTTTGCAAACAAGCGCCTGGAATAAACGTGCCTCCTACCGCAGGCGGCTGACACGTATGTCGGTCAAGAAAATCGCACCAGCTGGAAGCCACGTGGCGCAGGTGCTTTGTTGATAGAACTTCGCCCTCAAGGTTACTTAAAACGTTCTAGGCAGTTGTCGGAAACGACAATGACTTGTGTGAGTACATACTGCCGTGTATTCGGTACGTCCAGCTTTCATAGCGTCCGGGCCGAATCAGTTCCCCGTCGAATAACGCTTCTGGCGTTCCGTTGCTGGAGACAATTTCCAATTTAGATCCGGGGCCAAGAGCTCGAGAAGGTTGAACCGCCGTTCCATCCCCCGAGACTAAGATCAAGTAGTCGCTTAGCCAGAAGCTGAAACGAAGCCACCGTCATAATGAAGGGGATTGCTCCATCCAGTCACGTCGAGATCCTGGACATGAGGTTGGCACGTCGGATCCATCGGTGGGCTGTCGGTGAGCATGGACATATTGCAACACGGTGGCCGTTGGTCCAGACAGTTGTTAATTTTTTTTGGCGTGCTCCGCTTCTTCCTTTGCTTCCTTTTTCTTCAACTCGTCGGTAGATGCCGGTCTGGCAGTCTGACAGACATCGTCCCCGTTCTCCGTGCGTATATTAGGTGGCCACGAAGTCCAACGGCCGGGGAAATTTGTCAATGACAAGCTGGAAAGGAGATACTAGCGCTAGACCGGGATAGGCACTCTTCTGGCTGTAACAGAGTACATCCTTTTTTGCGAACGATCTACCGTGATATTCTTCAACGAAATCTTGGCCCCTTTTGCAGTGTTTCGAGCCTTCGAGGGACAGTGGCCCCAGTGCTACCAGCGATGAAGAATACTGAGCGGTGCGGTACACGTGTTAGTGGATAATACGACCATGTCTAATCGCGTCGCCTCCGGTTCATACTTATCATATCCGAAGATCTCTCAAGCTTGCGCAGTCCGCCATGAAAGCCCTTCGCGGTCTAGGGGAATCCTTAAGTGAGGAATACTTTTGCCTAATACAGCTATTGCACGCAGTATCCGTATGCAGGTCGAAAAAGTTGTTGGCACAAGCGATGTGTTGCCAACTACAACATCGGTGTACCGTTGCATCATCAGTCACATGACGAGAGCGACACCGAAACTGTGATACGCCCCCTTGCGGATCGCGTGGCCCTCAGGGATAGATCAAACTCCAAGTTGAGCCTGATGCCTGAATGTTGCAAATCTAGGTGGGAAATGTCATCAAGCAGCCCAAGGGTTCTGCTGTGCGAGGACTGTCAAGCGGTCAAAGCGGGTTGCACATGGCTGAACAGACTTTCGTCGCAAGGTCGACGAATGTTGATCTCGATGCCCAACCACAACCATGAACGGCGTTTCCGACTTCCATCTCTATTGCGGACGGCACAATGCCTTGTTCTGATAGTGTACCCCTAAATATCTCCGCCGGCCTAGTGTCGCCGCCAGAGGCAAATTTTTCGTGTTCCAGTTTACACACAGCGGGCGCCGAAAAGGGGTTCTGTTACGTTGCAGCGCAGGCCATGCTCAGTGCTAACAGCTGAGGTGGGTGGACCGCAAGAGCAAGATTCTACTGTGTATATCGTCCAGATTGACAGAGGCACAGAGCTCACGGAACTGACTTTTCTTGTGTTGCAAGGGAGTCAAGCCGATCTCCGATTTCCGATTTCAACCAAAGCCCTGGTCGCGATACGCCAAGCTTGAATGAGATTTCCTTTTCTATGTGTCGGGGGGTCCTGGGGCTTGCCCTCATCGGCTCTCAAAATTTCTTCTGATGCGTGTCATTGGGCATTGTAAGTAGGTTGCTCAAAATTGGCGAACATGACAATGTGTGAGCCTGATATGAGTGCGGTCTTGCACAAGCATGTCCGGCATTAGAATCGAACTCGCTAACTGACAGAACATGTGTGCTGAGCCCATCGCACATTCCGATATCAGCGGCAAAAATAGAGTCTGAACCCTTCAGTGAAGCTCTCCCGGAGCGGGTGAGGTGATCGGGTGACCTGCCGGATGAGACCCCCACACCGGCAGCCGGACATCTAGATCCGTACCCGCCTCCATTCCGGTCCGGTGTGTCGGATGCGACCCCAAGTCGGAGCGAGGCACCAACCGTGTACGAAAGCGGTCAAACAGTGTTGCTTAGTAAGCTGCGTCTGTGAGACTCGGGCGGTGTTCTGTTCATGCCTGAACATATGCCTTCGTAACGACTGAACTTGGTTTGGATGACATTCTACAGCATTCGCTGTCCTCATACTTCGTCACCTTGTCGTCTTTCAGTGAACCGATGGCCGGTTATGCACTGAGAGCTGTCCCGAAGGCCAACAGTATATATGCATACCCCAGTAAAGCCGGGGAGTCGGCCATATCACCGAAATGGAGTCTCTCGCTTCACATTGAGGACGTTCGATTTGCGATCCGTTGTGATATAAGATTCTCAATTGAGTACCAATGGCTCTCAGGGGTAGAATCATTGGGCGGACGTATGTTCCATACCTGCAGAATTAAGAGTTGTCATCAGCGTCAGGATTGTGCGATGTCTAGATTTCTTTCCCCTGAGGCTTGACGTGTAATGTATTCAATCTCGACGGCAGTTGGTTACAAGTATGAGCTCTGCGGTCTATGGTGAAAGGTCGCTGACGGTGGGCGGAGAGATTGTGCCGACGCCATTTTCCATCGCCTGCTCTGACTTGGTATCGACGTAGACTGCCAAGGTTTGAATGGGACTTTCACCCCGACCTCGCACTCTTCTCTTTCTATGCCGACATGAGTCAAATTGTGAATGACCCTGGGCTGCTCCCCTTGTTTCTGCTGCGCTTCGTAAACTTGACAAGAAAGCCTTTCGTCTAGTCCTAGAAATAGACTACATAGCGCCTAGCGTC